GAATAATTGATTAAGAACTTAAAACGGTTTAAAAAATGACTTATACTATTTAAGTGCACTAAAATTTTGCACAGTGCATAGCGAATTAGATATGTAATTTTATGAAGTTTCCAATTAAATTGACAAAAAGTTAATACTAAAAAAAGTGAACGAGTCTAAAGCTTTCACATAGCAACAAAAATTTGGAATTTGTGTAAAGTTAGATCCTTTTAAACCGGAACGGAAGAAAGTGAATAGATTAAATTATATATGTTTGAATGTGAAATACATAAAACTTTACACACACACATATATATAAATGCACACTTTGCTCTAAAATTTTTTTTTTTTGTTGCAAAACACCATCAATTTATTTCTATAACTATGATGAGGAAACGCTTTCAACTCTCGTTCACCGTTCTCACTGTCTTCATCATTCTTGTATTAGGTTTGTGTTTACATTTAAAATCATATTAACATATTACATATCGGCATTATAAAAGAAATTTGTTATAACTATTTTGTTATATATTTATCATTGCGACTATGTTATGTGAAATCCAGTTCAGATTTCTTTTATACTATAATCGTATAATATTGATTTTACCTAATGTAATGTCACATTCAATACCAAACCTAGAAAACTGAGTTCAAATGTTTCATGTTAGACGTAAGAAACCATTCCCAAAATGTTTTTAGAATCTCTTTCTCGCTATTTTGGTTAATTCGGTTTGTTCTTTTGTTTATAAAAATGTACGGTCTTATATTATTTTGAAGATTTATTGTGATATAAATGAATTCAGCAATATTTTCATCTTTTTACCATCACTTTTCTGCTTCATTCTTCATAGATGAATGTGTCAACCTACGATTTTTTATTCCATAAATATTGATGCTTTGTTGTTTGATCTACAAACTTAGATTATATTTAAAATTAATTGTATATATATAATTTCAAACCTGTATCTTTTAAAACTCATCAGTGAATTCTAATAAAACGAATTGTTAATTAATATGCGCAAATTCCTTAAAACATTTATCTTCACGAAACAAACAAAATACGATTTCCAATTTTCATTAGAAAAACTAATATGTTATGTTTTGAATATAGCAAAATCAGGATTGGTGGCCAATGCGCAACTAAAAGAAAAAAGATGGTGTTCTCGGATTCTACCAGTTAACATGAAAACTGGGATATGTGTTCCCAATGATTGTGAGTCTGGCTGTCAACAACAGTGGAAAGGAGAGTATACGATGGGTAGGTGCGGGGACTATAATGATGAAGGGAAAGACCCTAAAAAGTGCTATTGCACTCTTCTTTGCCCTAGCCCTCGACATTTGTGATGAGCATAAGAGCATAATTATCGATAAACTGGTTACCGTTTCATACCATTAAAAAATAATAACATAGAAGAAAATGAGGAAAGAGAAGCTTAGAAATCTCAACCGGATGAGACGGTTTTTTTGGTTTCTGTACACTTGTCATTTTCAGTGGTTGAAGTGCT